TGTCGCTATAGACCTCCTCTCAGTCAATGAAAGAGCCAAACTGTGGATTGACGACCTTCTGATCATCGACCAGTGGACGTCACTCAGCTCGTCAACCATCGAGCGTCAAGTCACTTCGGCATTGATAGGGACTGAAGTGAGAGAGTTCTTGAACATCCGTGTGGAGTATGAGTGCCTTGCGACTTCATCCATGTAAGGCAGCTCGTTGTTCTCGATCTGTCCTGACTTGACCCCTTCAGTGACTCGTCACCCTGTCAGCTCAACCTGACATGGGCTGATCCCAACAGCACTATGGCTCCTATTCCTCGCATCTCCTTGTTCCCCAAGACTGCAGTCGCCGACCTTCCAACATGGATCACGGTGACCCCCAACCTTCCCAGCGAGATCTCTACAGTCCACGGGTATACTTTGAACTTCTAATGATAAAGGTCTGACGGCTAGTTCAGAATCGGATTGACCATCGCCACAGCCGGGATAACGTCCTCGTTCAGAGTTGTCCTACGAGATGTGTACGGCAACGTGAGGTGGGGATACGACGATGTAGCTGTCGCCCGACTGTGGACTACGGCATGCGCAATGGCTCCTTACAATCACACTTGTCAAGACTTGATCCCTTCGGTGTTGTACGAGAACTTTGACCACTATGACCGTCTTGATGGTACGACCTGGGACGTCCTGCTGACCGTCCTGACTTTTTTTTAGGCTCCCCGTTCCTTAGTAGCGATCTTGTCAACATGACTCAGACTGACTCTTGCAACCTCCGATCGTTCTCAGCTCCTATCCCAGCTGCCTGGAACCTCTCCATCGTCGAACAGCACGTCTATGTCTCCTTTGCCGGTGGAGCGTGCGAAGGCAGGTGGACTAGGGTGTCAGCTGTCAACGGAAGTTGCCTCGTGCTCAACGACACGGCCTGGGACGACGGGCAAGTCCCATGTGTGGACGAGGGACCCTTGGCCTTCCACCTCTCCTACGGCCCATGGGCAATACCAGGCTTCCCTCCCCTTGCGTGCCCTAACTGTCCGAGACTAGTCAGGTCGTTGTACACGCCATCGACAGAGGAAGGCGTGTACGATGTTGTCTACACGCCTACTCGAAAGGGACAGTACAGTGTTGTGACTTCTATCGTCGGAGACGTCGGGCTGTTTGCCACGTACTACTCGATGGATTTCAACGCGATTGGCAAGCCTGTCGGGAGCTCCACATGGGCCAAAGGAATGGAGAACGAGTTTGCGGTAGACTGGTCGTCGAATCCAAACATACAGTCACCAGGTATCGATGTCTAAGAACATTGCTCCTCTGCTGCTTCTTGTAGTCTTCTCCATTTTCATGCTCCGCTCTCATGCCGCTTTCTGTCGCACATTGAATCACATGGAATGACTTGGATTTCTCAGCTCCTCTCGGTTCCACTCCCAACTCCTTTGCCATGAGATGGACCGGGTTCTTGAACGTCGACGAGGCGGCAGAGCAGAGGTTTGAACTTCAGCTGGGGGGAGGCAGCGGCAGGTCGACGACGTCGGAGAGGGTGAAGATGTGGATTGACAACAGCATCATCATCGATCAGTGGAGCTCCCTGGCCGTCATGAATCCCACAGGATCGATAGGTACGTATCCACACAGAGCTGAGAAATCTGTGGAGAGACATGATTCTTCCCACTGCTTACGGTTTGACGAGAGCTCATATGAATGATATTCATGTCAACAGGATTCGGCATTAGAGGAGGATTCTATGATCTAAGTATCTTGTACAAGGTGATTTCAAGTCTCCGACCTCCATCTCTTGTCTCTTACACTTCACACAGTGCATGGACAACAACCTGGGCTGTGGCGTCACTCTCAGAAGGAATTCAACCCTACTGAAAAGGGTTCCCGGCAAGCAAGTCTATCATAGGATCGACGTCCCGAACCCGCTCGGAGATCTGCTTGTGCGGGCTGCTGTTACGTGCGCATCGAGAAGGTAACCTGCTTGCAAGTTAGTCGACATCTTGTGACGTTCATCACAGTTTTGCGTTCGGCGCTCAGCTCACCATCGCAACTGCTGGAGTCGAGGCTTCCTTCCTCGTTCTGTCAAGGTGACGAGGCTGATGGAAAGTGCGAGACTTCGTGACGGGAGTGCGGCAGAGATGCGTATGAGAATATCAACGATCACTTCACCCCAGAGTTCAAAGTCATTCTTGAAGGACAAGGTGAGAAACTCTCTCATCTCGTCTCACCTCATCGCCTCCCAAGGTGCCGTGCCCGTCTACCAGGCCAAGGTCAAGCTCTACCAAGAACCGCAGGGGTTGTACTCAGTGCACTATACTGCCAACGAGGCGAAATCTTATACAGTAATTTGAATTGTTCATCCTCCATTTCGGCTTGACGAACCTGGCAGGTGATGGCTCGGCATGGCCTCATGAACCTTCAGGGAGGGCCCTATGTGCTGCTTGTCAAGCCCAACACATTCTGCGCGTCAAAGAGCACGATGACAGGCAGCGGTTTGACCCTCGCTCAAGTGCTGCCAGCTGTCAGCACGTTTGAGATTCAGCTCCGAGACTCGTTCTCCAACAGGAAGACCAGCTCTACCAACGTGAGTCCCTTCCCAGCTGCTGAGCAGCTGAGGGAGATCTGACGGCTGCGTCAGGAGCGCGGACGGTTTGCTCTGCGCGTCACGAGGGACTTCTGGCCTCCGATTGACAACTCCTACATTCTCTCTGAGAGTGACATCGCTCTTGCCAAGCAAGGAGTACTTCCCACCGTCCATGCGCTGCTCGCTGCTGACGGAAACGTAAAATTTCTCTAAACTTCCAGCTCCTTCTCGACTGACTTGCTCTCAGAACGGCACCCTCCAAGGATCCTACTCCCTATCTCCCTCTCCTTGGAGCTATGCCGTCACATCGCGCTTCCTGGGATCGTGGGGAGCAGTAAGACCAGTCCCTCTCCTCCTCCACAGCCACTGACCTCTTGCTGTAGCCTGGCAGGCTGGATGCAACATACTACGACACAGAAGGCAACATTTTCGTCAACTCGAGCTTCTTGGATGGAGCCTCCCATGACGTCCTGCAAGGTGAAGCTCCCAGCTCACTCCGCTCCTCCTCCTCCTCCTCTCCTGACGTCTCCCCTCCCCCAGCACAAGGACTGGCCAGCGTGTCCTGGAGTGGTTTCATCTCAGCTTGTTCAACGATCTCATCATCAAACGCCTCTTCCTGCCTGTTCGGATCGGAGAACCCTCGGACGTTGCGATGGAACCTGACGTCTTCGGCCGATCGCATCAAGGTACAGGAGCGATTTGTCAGCTCCTCCCCTCACTGCTGTTCCACCAGCTCTGGATCGACAACAGCGTCATCATAGACCAGTGGACGTCGCTTGCAAGCTTGCAACCGCAAGGTGAACAACTCCTCCTCCTCCACCACCACCACCTTCACACTCCACCACCACCTCCTCCCCCCCCTCCCCTTCCTGCTACCTCGTTCTCGTCTCTCCTCGTCTCTCCTTCTCCCTCTTGCTCTGTCCCCCTTCTCCTCGTGTCCTCCCCTCCTCCTCCTCCTCCTCCCCTCCTCCTCAGACAACAACCCTCCTATCCTCTTCTCCTTGCTCACTGTCTGTGTCAGGTACAATCGTCTTCCCCGACGACCTCACTCTCCTAGACATCGTCGCGTATCACAAGGTACCCTCTCTTCATCCTCCTCTCCCTCTTCTCAAGCTCCGGCAGGGCAACTTGACAAGTGCCGTTGAGCTGGACGGTCTGGTGGACGACACTGCCTCGAACTTCTTCCGCCCGATTGAGTCCAGCCGACTATGGCAGAGGTTTGACCTGGTCAACTCGCCGTTCCCCGTGACCCTTGCGTGATTCTGCTGCTCGAGCTGTATGTGTAGATGAAGTCAGTAAGGTTAATGTAAATATCTGAAGCAGTCCTCCGGTCCTTCTTTGACTGATGGATCTACTTCCTGCTGAGAAGCTTCATCTGTCACCAGCTGAGTCGCAGCTGAGTCGCAGGGGCAGTGAGTCGACGGTCGTGGCAGCTGGTACGGCACCACCCTTAACTAAACGTTTGTACCAGTTGATTCCAACGCTGAGGGATGGCCCGTCCGACTGTCCACGTAACGCATGCGTAACCACCATCTGTGTAACGCCAGTGGTGTGGGTGTATGAGGGGGATGACTGGGAGTGCGGAAAGCCATGACGGTAGACGGCAGCAGGAGGTCGAGCAAGAGGAGAAGGCTGGAGGGATCAGACAAGACGAGAGAGGAAGGAGAGGAGAGAGGGGACATCGAATCAGACATAGAGAAGAGAGTGAAGAAAAGAGCGAAAGTATGCGAGCACGGGCGGGTCCGATCGAGATGCCAGGAATGCGGGGGCGGCAGCATATGCCAGCACGGGCGGCAGCGATCGGTATGCAAGGGATGCGGGGGCAGGAGCATATGCGAGCACGGGCGGGTCCGATCGGTATGCAAGGGATGCGGGGGCGGGAGCATATGCGAGCACGGGCGGGTCCGATCAGGATGCAAGGGATGCGGGGGCAGCAGCATATGCGAGCATGGGCGGCGGCGATCGGGATGCAAGGAGTGCGGGGGCAGCAGCATATGCGAGCACGGGCGCCAGCGATCGGGATGCAAGGACTGCGGGGGCAGCAGCATATGCGAGCACGGGCGGCAGCGATCGGTATGCAAGGTGTGCGGGGGCAGGAGCATATGCGAGCACGGGCGGGTCCGATCGAGATGCCAGGAATGCGGGGGCGGCAGCATATGCGAGCACGGGCGGGAGCGATCGAAATGCAAGGGATGCGGGGGCAGGAGCATATGCGAGCACGGGCGGCGGCGATCGGTATGCAAGGAGTGCGGGGGCAGGAGCATATGCGAGCACGGGCGGGTCCGATCGAGATGCAAGGACTGCGGGGGCAGGAGCATATGCGAGCACGGGCGGGAGCGATCGGTATGCAAGGAGTGCGGGGGCGGGAGTATATGCGAGCACGGGCGGGTCCGATCGAGATGCCAGGAATGCGGGGGCGGCAGCATATGCGAGCACGGGCGGCGGCGATGGGAATGCAAGGGATGCGGGGGGGGGAGCATATGCGAGCACGGGCGGCCGCGATCGGTATGCAAGGAGTGCGGGGGCAGGAGCATATGCGAGCACGGGCGGGTCCGATCGAGATGCAAGGAGTGCGGGGGGGGCAGCATATGCGAGCACGGGCGGGTCCGATCGGGATGCAAGGAGTGCGGGGGGGGGAGCATATGCAAGCACGGGCGGGAGCGATCGGGATGCAAGGGATGCGGGGGGGGGAGCATATGCGAGCACGGGCGGCAGAGATCGAGATGCATGGACTGCAGGGGCAGGTGCATATGCGAGCACGGGCGGGAGCGATCGAAATGCAAGGAGTGCGGGGGGGGGAGCATATGCGAGCACGGGCGGCGGCGTTCGGTATGCAAGGAGTGCGGGGGCAGGAGCATATGCGAGCACGGGCGGCGGCGATCGGGATGCAAGGAGTGCGGGGGAGGGAGCAGCAGGTACAGACAGGCGAGGAGCTGATCAGCTGCGGACCTGATGTTGCTGTGCAGCAGGAGGACTGGCTTGCAGGGACCGCACGGTCGCGCTCGGCAAGGAGGCAGCTGATGGGGGGAGGAGGGACGGCAGCGTGTGCTGGGCAGGCTTAGAGGGTGGCGATGTCGGCTCGGGATGGGAGACGCATGAGGGGAACATGAACGAGTGCTGGGCGACGATCATGAACGGCACTTGCATGGCTAGAGCAGGGAGGGTGTCGGCTGGTACTTGGAGATTGAGAGCATCGTGTGGGAGGAGGGGCAGCAGCTTCCTGCGCAACGCGGGGATGGTGAGCGTCATTGCCAACAACGGAGAGCTCATGCAGGCAGACCTGGACATAGAGACCAAGGCGGGGGAGGGGAGGGAGGGACTTACACGGCATGCGGGAGTAGGACAGTCAGCCGGACCCCCACGCCGAAGACAACTGTCCCCGGGGGCGTGGAGTCACGATGGTGGACAAGGCAAGAGGAGAGGTAACGGACGCCTCGCCTCCAGGAGCACGGCCGCTAAGGAAACCCAGGCGTGATCTTGATTTATCAAAAGAAGTTCTAAACTGCCCTCTCGAGACTCTTTTACCAAAGGTGTTGTTGTAAAAATAGACATACCATCAGAAATGAACAGGAAAAGATGAGGGCTCTTGTTGTAGATGTTTGTAAAGGAGGATACACAGTCCAACCAGTACCAACATCAGTTTCAACTAGCGTAGAAGATGATAATAGAATAAGTGCAGGAGGTAACAACCAAAACCTCACATTCTTCATTCAACCAAGAGCCCTCATCTTCTCCCCGATCTCGGGAGGGAGGGAGGGGCTTGGCTGTACGGTAGGCCCGCCTCATTCAATGATCGCTGCGTTGTGCAGTCCGATGGTCCGAGCCTTGTCTGCTCGAGGTCCTGCTGGACCGGCGGGACGGTGATGAGTTCTCCGTGCCGGGCGAAGTGTTGCTAGCCCCGCTGGAGCTGGAGCTGGAGGTGGAGCTGGGGCTGGAGCTGGGGCTGGAGCTGGCAGCTTGTCCTCTTCCTCCTGTTCTTCTCCTCCGTGTCTTGTCCGGCTTTTCCTTCCACAAGGACATGGACCTTCTCTTCTGATCTGCACAATCTCCTTGGCTTCTTCTTCATACGGTTGAGCTACCCATCTTGGAGGGCGGACAGCCCGGCGGTTTGCAGAGAACAATGACAGGTTGCTCGTAGTTTCTTCACATCATGTCAGACATACACAAGAAGCAACAAGGACATGGACCTTCTCTTCTGATCTGCACAATCTCCGTTCATCCCATCTCCACCAGCGAGGGAGAACAAGTCCTCAAGCTTCAGATCTTGTCGACTTCCAAACAACCCGACCACTTCAAAATTCCTTGTCTGGTACAAATGTCAGATAATATCTGCCGTCGTAGATTACATCATCGTCCTCGTTGTCGTCGTAATCGTCATCGTCATCGTCATCATCATGATCTTCTTCTTCTTCTTCTTCTGCATCGTTGTCGTCGTCACCAACATCATCGTCATCACCTCTTGTCCTCCGCTCGCGT